AAATGCCCAGCAGTCAGCAAAAAAAAATATTAAAAATCAACGCGACTTTCAAGCGTCTTGAAAATTGCCCTTTAACCCACTAAAATTAAATTTTTCTAAAAATTCTGAATAAAAAGTTTAACATATTTTGGGTGTGATTCAAGATGTTTTAAGCAAGGTGTGATTGACAACTCAGGTAGGCTATCTTTTAAGGTACTATTATGTGAAAAAATATAAGCAAGCGATTCAAAATTCATGAACAAATTTTCAATTTGACTTTATAGCATCGTATATATATACAAGTATGGAATCCTATGCCCCTTTTTGTCTATTCTCTTTCTAACAACGGATGTCCTTGCCAAACTGAAAAGAATGATGGCGGTCGTATTTGACAGGCACGTTTGATGATGCGAACGGGATTGAAATGAAAGAAATGGAAGATGGATGACATGAGAATGAAAGAATTATGAAATAGCAGAATGTCGAACCAACACGAATTTCAAAAATCTGACAATGCGAATGACGTCAAAATGAAAGGAATGCAAAATAGCGAAATGTCGAAACGGAAGAAATAGATGACAGGCACGTGTTAAAGGGTTTTGTGCAACAAAAGGAGTTGTTGTGTTGCCTCATTCAATATTAAAAACAATTTAATGTGGTTAAATACGGTTTTTCATTAAGTTGAAAAACTACATATTACGCCAGCCAAAAAGTGTATACATAAATATAAAGTATCTTGCTATAAGATTTACTTATAAAAACGGTATATGCTTATGGCCTTATTCATAAAAAAAATAGATTTAAAGAGTTCTATACAGTGACATTAAAAAAAAGAGGCGTGAGTACTAAGTACTCATGAAATTTGATGTGTATACATATGCGAACGGCAAAGCATAAAAGTACGTTTAATAATAATAATAGATTGGCGCTTACACATATGTTAGTGTTTGGCCAAGCTTCTCCTCCGATTTGTGGCGTGCGCCTTGATGTTGTCACACAAAGCGGAGGGACCTACAGTTTTACGCCGACTCCGAACGGCGATTGTATTTTTATGAGAAGCTGTTTTTCATGGCAGAAATACACTCGGAGGTTTGCCATTGCAATTGACTTTATTTCGCACCAGGGTGGGAAATAAAGTCAATTGACCTTATTTCCGTTGATCTTATTACCTGTCACCAAAAAAAAAGCTTTAAATGCGGTTGTAAAACGGTCAACACATTTCTTATAAAATATTTTGATTTTTGCTGGGTGTAATTGAAACTCAGACAAATGAGTATTAAGAAAAAGAAAAATTTTAAAATAAGTTAAGTTAAATGTTATACCCAAATTCTTAAAAAGTAAACAAATCGATTTTTGATGTGTATACATCTTTGGTTTCGGTAGGGGAAAAATTTGCGAAGCTGTAACGCATATCCCAGCACAAAATTTCGAAGGGCTTAGCATGTGTATTTCAGCATAAAATTTTTATTTTCATTAGAAGCGCCCTGTGTTCGCTTGCCAAATGGTTGCATACATTTAGGCATATGAATAGTAAGAGGAAATGCGCTAAAATTGATATTAGCCGTCATCGTTTCGCCATCAGTTAGCAAGTGGCGAAACGAACGAACTCAATGAGGTACAACCAAACTTGCTATCGTCTATCCGTGCTAGCTAACTTTGTTGTTGCTTTCACATGCAAAATTTTTCGTTAAGCGACCGGAACTCAAACATAGCGAGCGAGAACTGGCGAATCGACGACGGCATGGCATCCTATGACACCCACAATGCACAAGATACTAATTCCTTATTAACAATAGGACAATTATCGGGGAGGCTCAAGAGGCCCACAACAAACTCTACCGAGAAAATTATTCCCGGAAGTTTTCTCGTGAAGTATGTAACCGTGACATATATAACCGGCTGTTGATGAGCTCGGACTCGTTTTTAAGCAG